TACAGTGGCTAGACAGCATTTAGAGATAGTGCTACTAAATAGCAATTACTTTAATTGGATTAAATACTGAACTACAAAGAGTATTACTGGGTTTATTATACTTACGGGTTGCTTCACAGTATGTAAAAAAGCTTTCGTATGTACTATATCATTTAACATCATAACCACAGGAAGTATTACTTCTTGATTTTTTGATGAAATAAATGAGACTAAAATAGACTATGTAACTTGATCAAAGTTACACGTCTGATTAAACAGTGTTACTGGCCTAAAATTAATATGCTTTAAGAAACTAATTTGTAAATATTTTAGTAAGAATAGTAGCAAGTCTGGAATTTAGTGCTTTGGATTTGCTCATTTGGAATAATCAAATGTCATGAGCCTTTAAGTGTTTGTTCTTTCTCAGAGACAAGGCTATATAAAAAGATCACACTGCAGTAGCCAGTGAGTGAGATCGTGTAAAACCAGGGTAAACACATCTTGTTAAAAAGCTGCCCAGCTCAGAGCATCTGGCTCACAATGTTCTCAAAGACATATTCACAGCGTTAATTTATAAAAGGAACCCTTTCAGGTAATCTAAACCAACAACAAACCAAAGGCAACCCCTGGCACTTGCCTGTGCTTACAAATGTCTAGCAGGGATGTCCATGTATTTTCACCGAAGTTCATTCTTCACTGAAACTTGTATCTGTGATGGAAAACCTCCTAGCCAAGCCAAAACCTAACTGATAGGACGTTCAGATATAGATTTAATGACCAGCATCTTACTGGGTTTTTTAATCTAAGAGATTTGCATTCTTGCTTTATCCCTGCTGCAAGTGCTTCTCTGCAGAATTCAAATACCATGCTCTTTAGTAGACATAAATCAAATTAGAGATAAATGTCAGCTGTTTGCAGTACAGATCTGTGGATGGTATTTAATAGCTATTTTTTCTATACTGTGTTAAATGGTGAGGTAAATGAATATGTTTACATTACATCATGCTCCTCACTTGAATGTGTATATATTTGTAACTAATAAACTTGTTGGAAAGGTTGGCTAATGAAACTTATCTCCAGAAAATTTATCTTAAGTCCCTGTTCAATCTACATCTATTTTGAAATAATTATTTTATTTACTCATGTGACTACATGAGTATTAAGCTCTAATAGATAAAAAGCTCAAAATTTAAAACATTCAGTATCCCAGGTGGTTTCTATAAATTAAACTGGCCAACAACTGAGAATTCTAGACCAGTTTTAATCATTAAAGGACCAAGAGAGCCACGCATCACTGCTCCAGGTCAAACCAACTGATGTCAGATGCCACACCATTGAAATGTAAACTGCAAATAAGATTTTAGATGCTGGCAAGTATTAAATGACTAATAGTGTATAGAACTGGACAACTTTATCAAAGTAAGTATTTACATTTAAGTGATTTCAGACCACTCAGTAGATTTTTCAGAATGGCAAGGGATGTGGAGGCAATCTGGCTGTGACATCTGTCATTCTGTTAATGAGACAGACTTGGCAAGCTTCCCTGCCTGCCCTCCTGACTCCTCCAAGCACTGAATGCAGAGACAGTCTTTCTATGCTGAAGAGGGCTGCTCACACGTCTCTGGCCACTGGCCATTCCAATTTCCTATTAGAAATTCCTGCAGATGTGCAAGAATATCAGTTCACTCCCACACTCCTACAAAACACTGGTGTTCCCAGAATTAACAAGATAATTGTTTCATTTCCTTCTGTGACGGTTCAACCTCAGAACACTCTTTGGAAACACCACGAATAGAAAGCTACCACAATGACTTAAGCATGAGTTCAAAAGGGCACTGCTTTCCTTGGATCAGTTCAATCAGGTCTCACATAGCTACAAAACTAACAAGATGTGGGGCTGAAAATTCTTTGATGAGACAGCATTCATCTTGACAATTTTCTGAAACTCCAAAGACATGCACTTGCACCACACCCTGAGTCATATCTCTGTGCTCTATAACATCACTTATGCATAAACTCTTCCCATAATCACCTTGGCAAGGGAAAACTTCATACTTAACTGCAAAAAATGCCAACAAGTGAATAGCTATAAATCCTCTGAGCGTTAGTTTGCTATGTAGACATGCTGTGCATCCCTTGTAAGAGGA